GACTCTCCCCTGACTCTCCCCTGAACTCCCCCCTGACTCCCCCTGACTCTTCCCTGACTTGCCACCTGAACTCTTGCCTGACTCTCCCTCTCCCCCCTGACTCTCCCCTGACTCTCCCCTGACTCTCCCCTGACTTTCTTTCCCCTGACTCCCCCCTGACTCTCCCCTGGACTCCCCCCTGACTCTCCCCTGACTCTCCCCCTGCCCCCCTGACTCTCCTACCCCCTTGACTCTCCCCTGACTCTGCGTCCCCTGACCCTCTTCGCACCCTGACTCTCCTGACTCTCCCCTGACTCTCTCCCTGACTTCCCCCCTGACTCTCCCTGACTGACTCCCCTGACTGCTCCCCTTGACTCCCCTGGACTGACCTCCCCTGACTCTCCCCTGACTCTCCCCCTGATTTCTTCCCTGACTCCCGCCCTGACTCTCCCCTGACTCTCCCCCTGACTCTCTCCCTGACTCTCGCCTCTGACTCTGCCCCTGACCCTGACTCCCCTGACTCTCTCCTGACTGGACTCTCCCCTGACTCCCCTGACTCCCCCCTGACTCTCCCCTGATCTCCCCCCTGACTCTCCCCTGAACTCTCCCCTGAACTCTCCCCTGACTCCCTCCCTGACTCTCCCTGACTCTCCCTGACTCTCCCCTGACTCTCCCCCGACTCTCCCCTGACTCCACCCTGACTTCCCCCTGACTCTCCCTGACTCTCCCCTGACTCTCCCCTGACTCCCCCTGACTCTCCCTGACTCTCCCCTGACTCTCCCCTGACTTCCCCCTGACTCTCCCCTGACTCTCCCTGATTCCACCCTGACTCCCCCTGACTCTCCCCTGACTCTCCCTGACTCTCCCTGACTCCCCCTGACTCTCCCTGACTCTCCCTCTGACTCTCCCCTGACTCTCCCCTGACTCTCCCCCGACTCTCCCTGACTCCACCCTGACTCCCCCCTGACTCTCCCCTGACTCCCCCCTGACTCCCCTGACTCCCCTGACTCTCCCTGACTCTCCCCTGACTCCCCCTGACTCCCTGCCTGACTTCTCCCCTGACTCCTCCCTGACTCCTCCCCTGACTCTCCCCCTCTCCCTGACTCCACCCTGACTCCCCTGACTCTCCCCTCTCTCCCCTGACACTCCTGACTCTCCCCTGACTCCCCCTGACTCTCCCCTGACTCTCCCCTGACTCCCCTGACCTCCCTGATCCCCTGACTCCCCTGACTCCCCCCTGACTCCCCCCTGACTCTCTCCCTGACTCTCCCTGACTCACCCTGACTCTCTCCCTGACTCTCCCCTGACTCTCCCTGACTCCTCCCCTGACTCCCCTGACTCTCCCCTGACTCCCCCTGACTCCTGACCCCCTGACTCTCCCCTGACTCTCCCCTGACTCCCTGATCCCCCTGACTCCCTGACTCCCCCTGACCTGACCCCTGACTCCCCTGACTCCCCCCTGACTGACTTTCCTGACTCTTTTCCTGACTCTCCCCGACTCTCCCGACTATCTCGCCTTAACCCTACTCCCTTGATCCTGACTCCTCTACCTTCATCCCTACCCCCTATCCGCCCCTAACCCTAACTCCCCCAGACCGCCTCCCCTATCTCCTTCCCCTCTCCCCCATCCCCTCCCCAAACCCCTTCCCAATCATTCTTCTCCCCCCTCCTCCCCAACCCCCTTTCCCCCTTTCCCCGCCTTTCTCCCCTAACCCTCCCCCTCTCCCTCTCCCCCGCCCAGTCTGTGTGCACAGTGTCCAGTGTCGAACCCGCCCCTCCCGCCCTCCCCGCCCTCCCGCCCTCCCCGCCCCTCCCCGCCCTCCCCGCGCTCCCTTCATTCATCGCCCATTCATTCATTCCAATACACGTGTGTACACATGCAGCGTCACGAGCGCACACACACCCTCACACACCTCGCTTGTTTTCACACGCACACGCGCTTGTACATGCACATTCACGCCCGGTTTTGCTTGCGTGCACACAACTTTGTTTTATGTCTATGTCTATGTCACAGAATTGGCACGGTTATGCATATACGTATTCAAAACTATGCGAACGGCTTTGCCAGTACTGTGATCTGCATTTGCTTCCACGGATCATCGCAAAAGCAGCACCTAATATGTGCATGCTTTCATGCCTGCAATCACACTGTACACATTTATATACATAGTTACACACACATACACAAATAATGCACGCAAGCGCATACACATATAGTTAGATAATACACTAATGTGAATAGAACAACACACACACACACACAACACACACACACACACACACACACACACACACACACACAACGCACGCACGCACGCACACACACACACGCACGCACACGCACGCACACAGTCACACACACACACACACACAACACACACACACACACACAACACACACACACACACACACACCACACACACACACACACACAAGCACACACACACAGCACACACACACACACACACACACACACACCACACACACCCACACACACAACACACACACACACACACACACA